AAATTACATTTTGAGAGATCGTTTTGCTTGCGTTCATAACCCTTCGTAGTTCCTTTATGAATAGTTCATACACATCTATACATATATATAAGAACTTCAATTTTTGCTCTGAAAAATAGTACGACTTGTAAATACAAAAACCTAAAACTGTCAAAAAATAGTTTAAACCATAATATCCCTGATCTGTATCCAAATACTATATGTTTTAATGATATTTAGTTTTTAATAAAATTGAGTTTTGTAAGAAGATGGTGTACTTTCGCTTCGAAATCCTTAAAATATTGAACATGCAATAAAGAAATGTATATAGTCTTCCTATACTGTTTTACAAAACTAACATTTATTATCTTTAGAAATTTTCCATTTCAATAATAACTACTTTCTAGAAATAATATAAATATACTACGGCAGTTTTCATCTGAAAATTTTCATCTTGTTCTCTTTTAAAATTTCTAAATATAAAATCCTATCAAATGACATATGTGTCGTGTATTTTAACTTTAAATATCTTTTCCAAATATTAATACCAATTGGTTTTGTATATTTTTCATCTGCTAAAATACCATATAACATTTGATTACAAATATCTTTTGCTTCAATTTGTTTATTCCCCCTCTCAATTTATCCTTACAAATATTGATTTTACTCTTTATACACTTTTGTTTTATTAGAATTTGCTGCCATTCTTTTGGGATGGAGCATTTTAACATCTTAAACTCTACAATCCAGTATGACTTATTTATTAACTTTTCTAAAATAAAACCTTCTGCTAACTTTTCCTCACGATTCAATGTGTCTTTAATATATATTAATCCACATGTTACCAAGTTTTGAAAGAACAAGCTTTAGTTGCAATATTAAATGTATCGTTTTACCCAAACATCTGATATTTGAAAAAGTTATCTGTAAATTTTGTTCAACCTCCACCTCCACCTATTTTTCACCAAACTTGAAATTACCTGTAAATAAAATTCCGGTAGTGTCCCCAATTCTCCCAATTCTTTTAGTGATTTTACATTATCTAAATTCAAGTTAAAGAGTATAAAGTTTTTGCCCAGATTGTTGAAATATTTGGTAGGAATAATCAACAAGTAAGGCAGATTGGTTGTTGTTAATTTGGAGACCTACGAAGTTTTCAGTGTTGTAACGTACCCTACCCCTTTTGTGATATTCGCCGATAAGTGCATTTCTTTTTACTATGACACTTTTACCTTTCCAAATATATTTAAAACAACAGCTTTCAATGTCTTTCATGTATTTGTCTGGAACAATAAAGTAGCCAAAAAAGTAATTTTTTGTAGTATTATAGATTTTATAATCAATTTATCCCAACCATAGTTAGTTTTCTATTTTCACATGTTTTAATTAAGGATTTCATTTTAGTAAGGCCAAAATAAAAATATTGTATGTTTGCCCAAACGCGACCGACCCAAAAAAAAAACGCCGACTCAAATTCTTTTTTTGACGTTTTTTTGAAGAATTTTTTTTTTTCGGATCTTTTTCGTGTCCGCTCCGTCATCGTATAAAACTTAATGTTCGTCTTCTTTACGTTTGAAAGTAACTGTGAATAAGATTAAAAGAAAGCGTGTAAGAGAGGCAGTTAATCGATATTCGATGTTCTCGGTTTTTATCTTCTGATTTAACGAACGGTAATTTCTGCTTTGGCGCCGGCTACTTCAAAATTGTCAAAAATAATATTTTCACAAAGTTTTCATTTTTTACCAAGTCGATGAAACATTGATAATTAAAGAAATTCAGACATAAACGATTCATTTTCTGAAGAACAGAGATTTTAGCATTGACTTTACAGTGTGAAGCAGATTATTTAATAAAAAGACAACTTTTTATCACTTCATTCACTTCCGGTACTTGTTACACGAGATCGTACATCAATCTAACTTTCGGCGACAAAATAAGTTTGTTACTTCATTTGAACGTGATAAAAATTGCCTCCAGTAAATGTTTAATCCATTTATTGCATTAAAAACGTTATATTCCTTTCCAAATAGCTTGTCAAACACCGTTTATTTTTGTAAATTTTCTTCGTCCGCCATTAACTGTTTTCTAACTACGGATCGGAAACTGACCAGCTATGACCGAAATCCGTATTTTTACAATAATAACTACGGACGCATGAATGGAACAGCTGACAAGGAAATTGGTCCCAAATGGAAAAAAATGCGCATTCCACACGCATTTACAGACTATTTGTTAGATTTACTTGATTAATGTATATAATTCCATATATATGGATTGTTTCAAAATATTGATTAAACTTGCTTAATTAACTCTGGGACTATAATACTTATATCAATATATATGGCCCAGATAACTTTGTATATCTTTTGATGAGAAACACTGAATTTCATAAACATGATAAACAAGATAGTTTTTTAATTGAATTGTGATTTATATATTATAATTTCTTTATCTTTTTGTCATAAAAAAAAATCTTTTTAGTGCTAGATATTTAGTTGGTAGTTTCTCACAAGAACCTAAACTTAAACAACTTTTGCTTCAATTGTATACTCAGATATGAATTGAACAATATAAAAAGAACATTATTTACATATGACCCTTTGTACTATAGGTAGTAAAAACCAAACATTGTAGCACAGTGTGCAAAGGAGCACTTCTCCCTATCAGTTTCAAAAAGAGAAATCACTTCTCCCTATGATTCTGAAGTAGTGTGAGCCCTGCATGATTATGCATTTAAGGATGTACTTAGGTCAGGTTTTGGAATTTCTGTCAGATGTTTGGAATCTGGTTTTTTCCTACGATACAGGGTAAAATATTTTGCCCCATGACCCCCATTTTTTTTCCATATAAAATACTTCAATTTACAACTCATAAAAGGTCATATACCAAAATTTAAGCAGATTGTAGATTTCTTCTCCTTCCATTAGTTTGCTGCTTAACTTAAATGCTCTTGAAGTCTTCTGACTTAAAGTATCAATTTTAAATTCTACATTATTCTAATTTCACCAAAGTACATCCTTAAAGACTCACCTTTTTGCCTGCAACAGTCCAATTCATCATTTGATTTATTGTAATAAGTATGTGAAATTAATAATACTGAGAAATAAAAAAAAATGTCTATGGGTTCGAATTATTTGAATAATTGCATGTCTACAGTTAAACTAAAAATATTTTCAACTAATAAGATCAAATTTGAATATTTTCCTGAATGATCACCATGTCTTACAGAGTCATCCTTCATCATTTTCCTCAAACAACTTCAACTACTTGTTCGCTGAAAGTCTTGTTATAGTGATAATAATATTTATGGGATCAACTTTATAGAAAATATGTGCATGACCATCTTGCTGCTCATTTACCTTATCATCATTAAAAAATGGTGTTTGATAAGGACTAAATTAGAGTTCAGGAGCCCCCAGAATGCAGGATTTTTGCACCATTTTAGAAAAAAAAACCCTCGCCGTGATGGGTGACGAGCAAGCTCGTCGCACCGGATGTCTATGACGTCCACAATCCTTGCTTGTTACTTTAATTATTAATCCTGCTACTTCAAAACCTAGTGACATCCCTGTAAAGAAGTAAAACATGTGAAAATGGCAGACAGTTTTTCATGGCTTTTGATTGTCTCTACAAAGGTTTGACGGAAAAAAAAGATATACTGTTTTAATATTTTCATGCAAATTCTGATAAAAAAAAAGAATTTGCCTACCTACCTACCCACCCACACCCAGTCATCATGGGTCGGGTTTGGGCAAATTGAAATATTTTTAATTGTGGCCTTATTTTAGTTCCCAATTTAACTTTTTGCAATCGTTTTTGTCGTGACCAAAATAAATGCCTTAAACTTTCACCGTTTTGTCCATCCAGCGAAAGACTTGTCACTCAGTTTTATTTATGCTATGATGACCACGACAAAAATAATGGACTTTGTCATTTTAGTTTTATTATTGTACATTAAAACTATGTATCACGATATGAGTAGTTCAGACCAAAATGAGGTAGAACCAATGTCTGGGTAACAATCTGAAAGTCGTTAACACCTTTTGGAATATTAATGAATCAACATAATAAACATTAAAGAATAATTACACACATACCAATAATAAGGTCAAGGAACAGTAATTGGGCTATGTCACAGATTTTGGTAAAATTTTGCATACAACTTTAGTTCATTGTACTATAACTGACAAATCGAAAATATAACGCATTTATCTCTGAAATATTACTGATAGAATTCTTTCAAAATTGGTGAACATTTGTATAGAAAGCACATAAACTCGGCATAAACCTTCTTGAATTTGTCTACATAACAATAGCTTTACTTCCAACAGAATTTTGTGTTTGGTATAAAACTCCTCCCTATTAATTTTTTGAAATACATTGAATTAATACACAAATAATAACCGTTTTGTCCATCCAGCGAAAGACTTGTCACTCAGTAACATATAATTTGCCAAAATTGGAAAATGGGTTTCCTGTGTCAAAGTTCTGAGGTAGAAGATTGCTGTGATACTTTCATTTCATATCGTTATGATTAACATAGTTAAATTAACAGTATGACAATATTTTTCTCATTATAAACTACTGATTTCATTTGAATGACTATTACATTCATTTACTTCAATAACCCTATCACTTTCTTTACAATGGTTTAAACGTTCTAATTTGACCAATCGTGCAATGTAAACTGCCACAGCAAAGAATATCAACAATACAGCACTTTCCACCGTTAATATATAACCAAACCAAATAGGTGTAGTGTCCATTACTCTGGCAAGAATTATTGGGTTTATAATTACGCCTAAACATGCGCATGCCATTATCAAAGATGCAATCTTTCCGTCAACATGAAAAAACTTTTCCTCTGTCCACGAAAAAAATAAAGGAAAGAAGATAGACATGCCAAACCCTACTATTGCAGATGCTATCCAAACTCCTTCGCTTAATTGATATAAAGATGTCACTAGTAGACAAATAAAGGCTGCAATAATAGTTAAACTATAAAAAAACAGTAACTTTACCTGACTTATTAAATTCACAATAAAAATTCCACAAAACCTTCCGATAGCGAACGAAGTCCAAAAAACTGAAGTTGCAAAAGCCCCCCTGGCCTTTGTCCAATTGAAGTATTTTACTGTAAATGCGACTAGAAAACCAGCGTACGTGTCTTCCATGGCCGTATAGGAAGCGATTATCAAACATAAAATGATCAGTCCAAATACTCGTATACGACCAGTTACTTTCTCTGCTTTGTGTCCTTCATTCTCACTTTTTAATGATGGACATGTTGATTCATCACTTCTACAATAGAGAACTATAAACGATAAGGCTGATAATATAGTCAGAACAGCCGATATTGTGTATGCTTTATAAACTTCAGAATCGCTACCTGTACCGATGGACAAATTAGATTGTATATAAAACGGTTCAGAAGCATTTATATGACTGACATTCTGAGATCCTGTTGTATTCTGGAAAAAAGTATAATTATTTGTATTGTTCCACGTTGTCCTGTTGTATGATTGTGATTCCACTGGATCATCGTTGGACAAAAAGGGTGCAGATATTAATGGCGCTATAATTCCACCAAAGGCAAACATAAAATGTAGAATCTGCATGTATGTTTTTACTTCTGATGCAAGAAGATGGATGAGTAAAGCGTTTCCAACTGAAATAAAAATTAGCTTGGTTAAACAAAAACATTTAGAATATATTTAATATTGTTATATTATTCAGGTCTCAGACACGGAACAGGGAATTTGAACCCACCGCTGGTAATGTCTGAAACTTGCATGAAAAACACAGATTAAGGATGACCTCCGCCTTAATATATTTTCATAATGAAAAAAAACTGTCCAGGACAATATTTAATAATGAAATAGTGTCCTTGTCCATGAAATTTTGTCACCTCCTTCTGGACAATATTTCACTATGAAATACTGTCCATGACAATATTTCACTGTTAAATAATGTCCATGAAAATGTTTCTTAATCTAATTATGTCTTCCCTGAGGACTGGGACATAATATATAGACGTTAATATTGTAGTCTAAGCTGAGGAATCCTCTGCCATGAAATTGTGAGCGTTTCTGAAAGTTTTTTTAATAATTGTGTATAACCATAAATTGCTCCATAAATTAATTACTAGTAGGCAGGTTTGTTTATTATTATCAATCGAATAAAACACATTAATGATATCTTTATCCAAAAATATCAAATGTATATAACTTCCCTTTCATGAGAAAAAATTTCATGACGTTCCATCTATCTGTATGTATACATTGAAGATACCAATTCTGGCTTTTATCCAACGGGAAAGTGAGACACCTATTGACCTCAACTGTATTTGCGCATACAATACTGTCTTCCAGTTGATTCCAATGAATTAAGCTCTTGACAAAGAAAGAGTTCTTATATGGATCCGTATTATATGGTATAGTGTCTACTGCCTTCGTATTGTTCTTCACTGAGTTTGACACTATATTGACACTTTCAAAGTTATTTTTTCGGTATAATTTGTCTCTTATGTTTAGTTTTAACCAGAAAATCTTTAGGATAAATAGCTGAGACCAAACCCTTAACCACTTTGTACAGAAATACCAGCCGTTGACTTGTTCTACTTGACTGTAGATTGTCCAGTTCTAACTCGGCTAGCATTTTGGTGACCGACCACTCTTCTCTAGATCTGTAATCGCCTGTTATAAATCTGGCTGCCCTATGTTGAATCCTTTCCAGTTGGTTTATATCGTGTTGTGTATATGAATCCCATATTATGGCCCCATATTTCATAGTCGATCTTACTAACGATATACTAGTATATGCTGTACATTTTCTGGCTTTTGTTCTTGATGATCAGACTGTAGCACTTCTTTGCATTGAAGCGCATGCCAGAGTCTTTGGCCCATACTTCTAGGTTTTGGAGGTCTTGTTGTAGGAGTGTATAGTCATGTTGTGAATTAATGGTCCTGTATAGAAGGCAGTCATCTTCAAAAAGTATGACCGATGATTTAACTGTATCTGGCAGGTCGTTAATGTGGTAGAGGAAGAGAAGGGGACCTAGTACAGTTTCTTGTGGAACACCGGAGTCAACTGTAGCTTCTTCTAATTCCTCACCGCCAACAACTGCTTTCATTTTCCTTTGGGTTAGGAACATCTCTAACCATTTGTTGGGTGGTCCTCTAACACCATATTCGTCTATTTTGTGTAGTAGTTTGTTTTGTGGCACGGTGTCGAATGCTTTCGAGAAGTCTAGGATAGCTACATCGGTTTGTTTTCCTGCATCACAGGATTTCATAAAGTCCTGTAGTGTGACTAGCAGTTGGGTTTCACAGGAACATCCCGACCTGAATCCATGGTTTAGTGATGTAAATACCCTGTGCTTCTCTAGATGTTTAAGCATATGTCTACAGATAATATGTTCAAGTAGCTTGCGTGGTATAGATGTTAGTGATACTGGTTTGTAGTTTTCTGGTGCATGCTTGTCTCCCTTTTTGAAGACACTTGAGACATTTGCATTAAGCCAGTCTCTTGGTAGTGAACCAGTGTTTATAAATTTTTGGAATATTAGTCCAGGTGCTAGTTGTTTCGAGCGTTCTTTTAATATTCGGTTTAGTATGCTGTCTGGGCCTGATGCCTTTGAAGTATTTGGTTTTTTGAGCAGCTTTTCGACTCCTTCTGATTATATGTCTAATAGCGGTATTGTATTCTTTATGTGCTTCGCAGTTTTTGGAAGTGGTTTTTTTTTTCACTATCTTCAGTAGTTCAGCTCTCCCTTTGCTGTCGATAACTAGGTGGCCGTTGCTTTTTAAGGGGTGCTATAGCTATATTATCTTGTTTTCTGGATTTTACATATTTCCAGAAAGGTTTTGAGTTGTTGTTTTTTTTTTGGCCCTTCTAGCATGGTGGTATTTATGTATCCCCATTCAGCTTTCCTGATTTGCCTCTTACATTATTTTTGAAAATGTCTATAGTTTGTCCAGTTCTTTGTTTTCTTTGCCTGCTGATATAGTCTTGTTTTCTTCTTAATCATTGTCCTGATTTTGTGATTTATCCAAGGTAGGCTGGTTTTTTAGCGGATGAGTTTTGATGGTACGTGTTTGTCCAGGTTTGTATAAAGGTCTTTCTTGAACTTGTCCCATAATTCCTGAACTGTTGCACCAGTTTTCTACATGTCAGTGATGTTGGTTGAAAGTATATTGAGATCTCTTTTAAGGTCTTCCCATTTTGCTTTGGAGTATATATAGCATTTGCGTGGCTTCTTACTCTGGTAGTGTGGTTTTGTGTCACAATCTGTTACAATCATATCGTGGTCAGAGATTCCTGGAGCATTTGTAGATGTTTTGATAAGTGACGGGTTTGTAGTCAGTACTATATCCAGAAGGTTATTGCCTCTTGTTGGTGTCTCGTGTATCTGTGTTATTGAGTGTGATATGATTACTTCCATTAATGATCTTTAAATTTCCTTGTCTTTTGCATTTTGGTGTACAGACATGGTATTCCAGTCTATGTCTGGGCAGTTGAAATCTCCAGATAGTATGATGTTTGGGTTTTTGTTTGAAATCTGGTCTAATAATCTATCTAGTTCTTTGATATCTTCCATGTTCCGATGAGGCATGTAGAATGAACCTATGGTGAGATCTTTTTATCTTTCAGTTGTATCTTTACCCATTCAATCTCGCATTTTGTTACAAATTCTGGTTTTTCTATTGCAATGATGTCGTTTTGTACAAGAATGAAAACTCCGCCGCCTAGTGTACCTCGATCATTTCTGTAGGTTGTGTAGTTTTCTGGGAACACTTCACTAGATTTTTTGCATCTTTGGGGGGTTTATTCCCAGGGTTTTCTCCTTTAAGCCCAGACTCTGAGCCGCAGATGATGTCTGGTTTGATGTAATTAACCGCAGCTGAAAATTCAGAGGTCTTGTCATTGATGCTTCTACAGTTTAGTGTAAGGATTCTTAGGTTTTGCTTCTTTGGTATGTTGAATACGTTACTGCTGTTGGTTCTGTTCTTGCTTGTGTTACATTTTGGTGTGTTATCATTCATGGAGTTGTTTCCTTTAGGACTGCTGGCTTTTAGTGGACTGAATGCATTTGGTGTGATGGAGTCCGTACGTCAGGTGGCCTGTTGCAAGGCAAAATTTCTGTCCTTATCCATACACCCTCATGTTCCAGTGGCAGTCAAAATTTCCCCGACCATCATCCCGGATAGCCTCTATTATAGAACCTACCTATTGTATTTTGTTTTAATTTGTTCTCGTCCTGAATATGCATGAAATATTTGCCGCTGGACATTAAGCCACCAACAATCAACAGTTTCCCCTGTAATATTCTGAAAACGACATATTAAAGCAAAGATATCTCCTAGCAGCAATATGATTTTTATTGAAAAAAAAACAATCGTTAAGTTGGAGATTTACGATTGTTAGAAGATATCTGAATCTGAAAACAACAATAAATTATAAAGTATATTTACAACTTTTGTCGTCAGTGTTTGCCGGGTCAGCTGTTCACGACTCAAGATACTTTGATTTATTCGTCTTCGTTCCAAATTGTCATTTAGCTGATAATCAGTCAAGACAAATAACTGTGAATGCATCATCTACTGCTTTTTTGGATATAGATTGATATTCATAGGTCATTCAAGGTGTGATGCTTATGTTTTTATCTTTTAATACTTCTTACCTGCGTCTTCTATTCCCATGAAAAATCCTTTGAAAAAATGTATGGTAACCATAGCTTCATAAACTGAACACCATGGAATGATAGCTACCACCACGGAAAGTAAAGCAGCAGAAAAACACATTTGAAGAAGTTTGTTAAATCTTTCAAATGTTAATCCCACAATTACTGAAGAAGACAAGTAACCCAAGGTATTGGCGTTGAACAGGAATGAAGCTTGGTCAAGACTACAGCTTGTTATTTTCTTCAAGTCAAGGACTGTAGGTCCAAACTGACCAACATTGACACCCTACAAGAAACAATAACCCACTTTTTGCTGTGTTCTTTTCAGGGTCTTTTTTATTTATTATTTTTGTTTTTTGCAATTCATTTGTACCCTCATAATAGTAAGCCCAGGAAATCAACCCTGAATTACGTCCACTAATCTAGAGAATTAATTTTAATAAAGAATTACAAGGTACCATTTTACGCATATCTCGAAACCATATATATGAAATTTAAAACAATCAGAGAGCAGCGAATATATTCAAAATAACTACAATAAAATGCTTCGCTGAGCGCAGCCTGATACGACCGCAGAGGTCGAACCCTGAACAGTTGGTACAAATTTGGACACAATATTCAAGCTTGATACTGTCTAAATTTGGATTGTGATCAAATTTTTGACATAATATAGATTTCTGACACAAAATAAATGTGGTCAAAGATCTTACGAATCTATTGCGCAATACTTGGAGCAATAACCCCAAAATTCGATCCCAGCCTTTCCTTTGTAGTATGGAATCTTGTAGTACAATTTCAGAGAGATCCATACACTTAAACACAAGTTATTGTCTGGAAACTAGAAAAATGCTTGTTTTGGCCCTTTTTTGGCCCCTTATTCCTACATATTTGGGCAATTAACCCCAAACTCAATCCTAGCCTTCCCTTTGTGATATGGAACCTTGTGGTACAATGTCAGAGAGATCAATACACGTACACACAAGTTATTGTCTGGAAACTAGAAAAATGCTTGTTTTTGGCCCCTTTTTGGCCCTTAATTCCGAAACTGTTGGCCCCAAAACCCCTAAAACAAATCTCAACCTTCTACTTGTGGTATTAAACATTGTCGTACAATTTCAGAGCAATCGAAATACTTATACACAAGTTATTATCCTGAAACTAGAAAAATGCATGTTTTGGGCCCATAATTCCTAAACGGTTGGGACCATCATCCCCAAAATCAATCCCAACATTCCTTTTGTGGTATTGAACCTTCTTAAAAAATTTCATAGAGATCCATTCACTTAAACTTAAGTTATTGTCCGGAAACCAATTAGTCTTCGGACGACGACGCAGACGACGACGACGACATCATACCATTATACGATCCCAAAAAATTTTTTGCGGTCGTAAAAAAAGGAATCAAAACCAGCTGATGAACAGCTTTGTATAGGCAGGAATCACTATGTTTGCTGCATTAATAACCTTTTCTCCATCGATAAACCTATTGTTGGTCTTGATCAAAGGATTGATTGATTGACTGGGGAGGGGTATTTTACGCCATGTCAATGCATACTGGTTTTGTCATGGCGAAAATCCAGATTTAAAGGCATATGGCAATACAGAAAAGATCTCTCATGATTTTTCCCTTTTTGAAAAAAGTAAATTTTGATAGACATGATCAAAATCGGCAAAGAAAAATATACCTTCATGACTTACTTTTTGATATATTTCAGCTTTAAATTTGCATGTTTAAATAATTATAAAAGGGAAAATTTCATTTTGGGGGCTGTTCCTTAATTTATAGATCTTTAAGAAAGTCCATAAGATGAAGACTGAATGCGATAAAAAAAATTTGTGCAATCATACTATTTATTGGAATTATTGGAAATAAAAACCCATAGACATTTCTCTTGCCAATAGAAATGTATATTAAGCAAAAGTATTTACCTTTCATTTTTTCCCTTACAATTTTGATAAAATAGTCCTGATGTAGTACATAGTCTATGGCAAAAAAAACTAGAGGCTCCAAAGACCCTGTGTCGCTAATCTAGGTCTGTGTGCATCTTCAACAATGGAAACTCTAACATTGTGTACTAGAATAGAATTCATGACAATCTCTTTTTTTGTTGATCTTGTTTTGCTGATCATTTTGTTATGTTTACAATTTCTCTTCATCTTCTTTAGCTTTTGTCATCTAAGGGCAATCACTCCAAAGTCTCCTATAAAGAGTTTACTAACAATTTTGGCAAAATTTGACCTATTTGTAGATCTTGTCTTGCTGATCATTTTTGCTTATTTAAGTGTCTCTAATATAGTTTTTAAGATATAAGTCAAACATGTGAAACAATTGGTACAAATTGTCACTAATAACTCCAATAGGGAGTCGTTGGAAGATTTTGGCAATTATTTGACTTTTTTGTAGATCTTGTCTTGCTGATCATTTTTGCTTTTTATAGTGTCCATCTATCTATTATAGTTTTAAGCTAATAGGCAAAAACACTAATAAGTAAACATGGGTAATAATAGTCATTAAAGAGCTATAACTCAAATAAGGAGTCATTGGCTGATTTCTTATTTCGGTCATGTTGACTTAATAGTAGATCTTGTCTTACTTTTCATTTTTGTTTATTGAAGTTTCTTTATATCTACTTGAATTTCTAAGGATAAGGCAAAAACGCAAAAAATTTGTAAAAATCGTCATCAAAGGTCAATAACTCCACTAAGGAGTCATAGGATGATTTCGGCTTATTAATCGTGTTTTGCTATATAAAGTTATGAATTAAATCCCATAACTAGAAAACGTTAAATCTAAAAATAATAAAAATCAAAAGGGAGCTTACATCAATAGATATAATCAATTCATCAAAGTTTAATGAAATTGGTGAATGAGTTTTAGAGTTATTGTCAGAAGAGTTGACGACAGACGGACTGACAGAGTGAAGCAGTTACCAGACCTGCTTCAGCCTTCCGCAACACAGGTAATAAAATGATCCATAGAGGTCAAACCCTGAAAATTAGGGCAAGTATGGACACAACATTCAAGATTGATACAGCTCTGAATTTGGATTGTGATTAAATATTTGACACAACATTATAGGTTTCTGAAACAGAATGAATGTGGTCTAAGAACTTTAAAATTTGAAATTGGATGATTTACCTATTATGGTCTTATATCCAAAATCTAAATACATGGTTAGATTAAATATATCAAAGAACCCCATGAATATTAATATTTTATTAAATCAAACAAAGTTTAATTTTGGACCTCAATTTGGACCAACTTGAAAACTGAGCCCAAAGTTAAAAATTTAAATACACAGTGAGATTCAGCATATCAAAGAACCCCAAGAATTCAATTCTTGTTGAAACCAAACAAAGTTTAATTTTAGACCTTAATGTGGACCAATTTGAAAACAGGGCCCAAAATCCAAAATCTAAATACACAGTTAGATTCAGCATATCAAAGAACCCCAAGAATTTAATTTTTGATGATTCAAGTTTAATTTTGGACACTTTGGACCTCAATAAATTCAATTCTTGTTGAAACCAAACAAAGTTTAATTTTAGATCCTTTGGACCTTAATGTGGACCAATTAAAAACGGGGCCCAAAATCCAAAATCTAAATACATGGTTAGATGCAGCATAACCCCAAAAATCAATCCCAACCTTCCTTTTTTGGTATGGAACCTTGTGGTACAATGTCATAGAGATCCATAGACTTATACTCAAGTTATTGTCTGGAAACCAAAAGTCTTCGAATGACGACGATGCAGATGACCAAAAGGTCATACCATTATATGGCCACGGTCGCCAAAATTTTGTGGTCTTATAAAAATCAGTTGCAAATAGCTTAACTCAATAAATTGGTTTGAAGCACAAATAAATCAACTAACATAAATACAATAGACACAAAGCACCCATATAAGAGTGCTTGCAGTTACTGAAAGCTAGTTCAAAACCAATTACAACTAATAAATAAATCATGTTTTCCCAGACTTAAGTATCAATCTATTCAGTAAATATCCAAAGGACTATGCAATGCCAAAATGTGAGTTAACAGTATCCACAGAATGTAGGATCATGAGTATTTATTACTAGACATTTATAGCAACACATGTATATATACATGTATAATGAAAGTTACTTACCACAACGAAGAAATTGTAACAGATTGTAACAAAAATTAGGAATTTTTTACGATATGCTTCATCAGATTTCAATCTAGTTTTGAGTGCTGACACAGATGACGTTTTCTGTTTGTCTGAAACTTTTTCTTCTGATGACAATTGTTCATCGTCAGAAGACTTAACGTTATTATCAGGATGACCATTGAATAAGCCGTCCTTTATGTCTTTCTCATCGTTTTCTTCTACTATTCCTTTCCTCATTGCTACATTTAAACCTGAATAAAAATTAACTAATTAATAACGAAACTAAATAAATTTGACACAGAGATATGTCTCGCTTTATGTAATTTTGATAGTATAATACAAAGGATAAAATCAAAAATGGCAACACTTAAAGAGGCCATGTCAATGAGCATCGAGCTTCATACTATATATAAAAACCTTGAATGTAGAAAAACTTTAGATTCAGTTTAAAATGCTCTTGTCAAAGACCATATGCTAATGAGAAAAAAATATTTTTAATCATGTCACTGCATCTTAAAAATGTTTCCTATAAGTAACGAGTCCAAAGAGTATAACAAAAATAAACACATATGCAGGCAACTTTGGCATGTTAGGGCAAAAGTGTGACTAGGAAATTATTTTTCATTACAAATACAAAATAAAGTAACCTTTTCTTACCGTATTAAACATTTTTAAGTTTGATAATAGTTTTGTAATATGATACTATGGCAATGGGAAAATATGAAAATATTCGAATTTGAACTTTAGAAAATAGTCTACTTTTAATTTATCATATGTATACTAAAATCCAGACCAGCAGTGATATAATGTGTATTGTATTCTTAATATTAAAGTTCTATGTGGTTAATTACAAAAATAAAATTGGGTAAGCATTCAAGAATATTTTTTTGCTGATGTTTTCAGTTATGCTCACTTTAGCCTTTTTGCAAGTGTTTCTTTAAGACTATTTGAAATTGTCTTGGGTAAGATCCCCTGATGTAATCCTGATGGTCATTTGCTAAAGCCTAATATGATGTTGTTTTGTTTCTTAATATATCCATTCAAAGATGGAATATGTCAATTAATAAGAATTTAGGACAAATAAAAGACGGACTCAGGTCGTGGTGTGGCATATATATGCCCCCTTTTGTTTATCACTTCTTTTCTTTTTTTTTTCTTGCAAAAAAATTTTGACCATAGCCAGTCAAGAAATACTTAAACAGATGTTTTTTAAATGCCGGTAACAGGTAAATTATTTTGGAGGTAGAGTTATATCCCTTAGACATTCAGATTTTTTTTTTTACTTATATAAGTAATAAAGTGTTATTTTGTTCTTTTCTTGAATTTCTCTTGACTACATTGCTCTAGCAGAGTGTTATTGTCTGTCATCAATAGTTGTCTTTAGTATTTATAAAAGTATAATTTCATACACAATGCAAATCTCCCTTGTCTGTTATCTTTAAAATACTGCTCATTTACAAGCCTCCAGGGAGCAATTTTTGAAGGCCTTGCACAGTTACTTTACATCAGCTGTGCACAATAGATTTCTATGTTTAGATTTTGAGATAAAAGGTTAAACTTTAATCAAAAAATAATTAGCAAACCAGAAAAATTTTGTTAAGCATTTTTTTACCTTCCAAAATTTGAGAATTTAAGCGGTTGTAAAAAAAATTACTTGTATAAGTAAATGTTTGGATAAGATTCAGGGGAGATAATTCAAACATTGAAAATAAAATGAAAATCTTGCAAATTTACTAAAACAAGTAAAGTAATACAAACATCTTCAAGTAAATAAATGTTGACTTGTATAAGTATAACCCCTGACTGATAGTGGACATTTTTAAGCAGTCTTATATTTACACCCCTTTCTTCCAACACTGGATCTGCCCCTGCATCTGTGATTAGTCCCAAATGGTATTGAAAGATTTTGAAAAATTTTGAAATATGTATTTTATTCATTCCAACCTTTACATAAACAAATGTTGTGAATCATCAGTTAAAATAGATAATAAACACTCTGACTTTTGTGAAATAAATAAAGGGGTCAAACAAGGGACAGTTTGAGCCCCACATTGTTTAAATTGCTTTATTAATGATCTCCATTCAAGTTTTGATGGTACATGTGATCCTGTGTCCTTAGACAAAACATCAATTAGTAGCCATGGTTTTGCTGATGATCTTTTAATATTATTAGATTCACAAAATGGTTTACAGTCTGCTTTGAACAAACTGGAAAAATATTGCTACAAAATTGAAATGGCAACTGACTGTAAGTACTAATAAAACTAAAATTATGATTTTTAATTCTAGAAATTCTTTTGAGTTGAAATTTTTCTATAAACAAAATCAATTAAGGGAGCTACCATTTGATTTTTATGAGGGGGGTAGGATGAAATTTGAAAAAAAGGCGGGACAGGAGTTTTGAGTAAAAAAAAAGGCAGGATGAGCAACTTGGCAAAAAAAAAAGGCAGGATGACAATTTATGTAAAAAAATGTCAGGATAAACTAATAAAAACAAGAGGCTCTCAAGAGCCTGAATCGCTCACCTGCATTTCAGAGGAGAAGATTTTTAAATGTTAGCAAACTTGATGAACAAATTGTGTAAAATTGTCTTTAAAGGGCAATAACTCCTTAAGGGGTCAATTGACAATTTTGGTCATATTAACTTTTTTGTAGATCTTACTTTGCTGAACATTATTGCTGCTTACAGTTTATATATATCTATAATAATATTCAAAATAATAACAAAAAACTGCTAAATTTTGTTAAAACTACCAATTCGGTGGCAGCAACCCAACAATGGGTTGTTCGATTCGTCTGAAAATTTCAGAGCTGATAGATCTTGACCAACTGAACAATTTAACCCCACGTCACATTTGCTCTCAAAGATTTAGTTTTTGAGATATAAGCCAAAAACTGCATTTGACCCTTATGTTTTATTTTTAGCCATGGCGGCCATGTTTGTCGATGGATACAAACTTCGGATACAATTTATAAACAAGATACCCTAAGGAACATTTAATTAAAGTTTGAAGGTAATTGGCCCAGTAGTTTCAGAGGAGAAGATTTTTAAATGTTAGCAAACTTTATGAACAAATTGTGTAAAATTGTCTTTAAAGGGCAATAACTCCTTAAGGGGTCAATTGACAATTATGGTCATTTAACTTTTTTGTAGATCTTACTTTGCTGAACATTATTGCTGCTTACAGTTTATATATATCTATAATAATATTCAAAATAATAACAAAAAACTGCAAAATTTTGTTAAAACTACCAATTCGGTGGCAGCAACCCAATAATGGGTTGTTTGATTCGTCTGAAAATTTCAGAGCTGATAGATCTTGACCAACTGAACAATTTTCCCCATTGTCAGATTTGCTCTAAAAGCTTTAGTTTTTGAGATATAAGCCAAAAACTGCATTTGACCCCTATGTTCTATTTTTAGCCATGGCGGACATGTTTGTCAATAGATCAAAACTTCGGATACAATTTATAAACTAGATACCCTAAGGAACATTTAGTTAAAGTTTGAAGGTATTTGGCCCAGTAGTTTCAGAGGAGAAGATTTTTGAAATAGTTTACGACGACGACGGACGCCAAGTGATGGCATAAGCTCACATGGGGCCAAAGGGCCCCGGTGAGCTTAAAAGGCAGGACAGTTACCAGAGTGAAAAATAAAAATGCAGGACAGAGATTACAACTAAAAAAAATGCAGGACAAAATTTTTCATCCTAGCCCCCCCCCCCATAAAAATCAAATGGTAGCTCCCTAACTGAAGTTAAAGAGTATAATTTTCTTGGGAACATTATTGATAATAAAGGTACAATGTATATTTAAGAGATCAACACAGGAACTATCCAAGAAAGCACTTAATGCGTTTTTTCACTAAAAAATAAGTGTCTAATTTTCATCATGTCCCAGTTGATTTATCATGTAAATTATTTGATTAATTGAACCCATAATTTTGTATATTAGTGAAATTTGGTTTATGGAAGAATATTACTCCATTTTTATAGCCCCAAACAGAACCAAAATGCATGGAACTAACTGTGATATTTATCCTTGACAGATAGATTCAGCTTTGAGAAGGTGCATCATAAATTTTGTAAAACTGTTCTTGGAATTAAAAAAAACCTCATGCAATATAGCTGCAAAATCTGAGTTAGGACGGTTTCCACTTCACTCCTTTATTAAAACTCAAGTTTTATTATATTTTTGTAGAATTAACTGTCAGGAAATAAACCCTCTTGTTAAATACTCAACTTTCAGAATCGTCAGGCTTGAGGCTTTAGCCATTAAATTGTTTGCAATTTTTTATCTATGATAAAGAAAACCTGATAAAAAAGATTTGTGTATAAAAATAAGGAGATGTGGTATGATTGCCAATGAGACAACACTCCAAAAAAGACCAAAAGATACAGAAATTAACACTATAGGTCACCATACGGCCTTCAACAACGAGCAAAACCCACACCGCATAGTCAGCTATAAAATGCCCTTAAATGACAAAAGTAAAACGATTCAAACGAGAAAACTGACGGCCTAACTTATGTACAAAATAATGAACGAAAAACAGATATGATACACAGCAACAAACGACAACCATTGAATTATACAGGCTCCTGACTTGGGACAGGAAAATACAGAATGTGGCGGGGTTAAACTAGTTCGAAGGCATCAACCCTGATAAACATTCATGGTTTGGTTTTAACTCTATGCTCACATCTGAATGCATCAGATATCTTTTTCAAACATAGTTCTTGTTATTGGTGTCTTTTGTGTTTGTGTTAGGGTTTTTATGTGCTTTGTATAGATCTGATGAGTTAAGCCCTTTTCAACTGATTTGTATAGTTTGTTCTTATGTTGCACTGTTCGCCCCAGTAACACCACTGTCCTAGGTTAGGGCATGGACTTTCTATATAGACTGTCCCTGGTTAGGGGGAGGGTTTGGTAAACATGTTTAACCCTGCCACATTCTGTATATGCCTGTCCCAAGTCAGGAGTCTGCAATTCAGTGGTTGTCATTTGTTGCTGTATATCATATTTGCTTTGCGTTTATTGTTTTGTACATACATGTAATTCAAGCCATTAGTTTTTTCGTTTGAATTATTTTACATTTGTCGTTTCGTGCCTTTTAGTTCTATACTAGCTTGCTATGCGGTATATATTTTGTTCATTGTTTGAAGCCGTACCAGTGGCGGATCTAGAGGGGGTGTCCCGGGGGGGTTAGAACCCACCTTTTTTTGGGATGATCAATGCATTTGAATGGGGACATATAGTTGGACCCCCCCCCCCCTTTATCCTTGGTTAGGAACCCCCCTGCGTACGGTGACATATACATGCTACAGATGTAAACGTTATCGTCATTTAGTCTCTGGTGGATAGTTGTCTCATTGGCAATCATACCACATCTTCTTACTTTTACATGTAGTTTGTGCAAACCTAAAACATGATAAGGGGGGCGAACATGTTATGTGGACGAACGAACCCGACACCGTGACGAATGCTTATTGCATAACGCTGTGCTTTTTGCTATTTACGGAAAATTATGACCGTTAGAAGCAATCAAATATTGTACATACAATTGTTGTGATTTTATTCTTTTGTAAAAGCTTACCTTAGGCTATGTATAGAGTGAGGTATAATAGTTGGGGTTCTTACGATCTAAAAACCACGATATGGACCACGCTCTGATTGGATTATTTATTTTTCATTTTTGTTATCTATCATACGATTGGTTCTCAATGTAACTCGGATTTATTCTACGAAAAAAAGAGTTTCCGAAGTGTACTTTCTGTTTCGATCTCACGTTATATTTATAGGTATACTCATAGAGTGGATGGTGTTTGTAAATATCGAATTGTTAACCGAGCAGATTAGTGTAATTTACGGAAATACTCAAGATTCAAAGTTTTATTTAAAGTCGGTATTCAATAAACCGGAAAAACACTTACGATATTTAAGGATTTGTACACAGGTATTTGTCAAAATTTCCTATATACCGTAATATATACTAAGGTTAAAAAACATCTATCAAGCCTTGAAAATTGGGAATCTGAATGGCAAATGAAATTTAATCCTGAAAAATGCTATGTCATAAATATTTCTAAAAAGTCGAAATCTAACTTATTTCAATATAAATTACATAACCATGTACTTGAATCTGTCAAAGACAGCAAGTATCTAGGAGTTACAATAAGCAGTGATCTTGATTGGGGGCCCCATATTAATAATATAACTTCAAAGGCAAATAAAACACTAGGATTTTTACGTAGAAACATGAAAAATTGTACACGTAAGGTTAAAAACCTTACGTACACATCACTTGTGCGTCCGACCGTCGAGTACTCCTCACCAGTTTGGGATCCGTACAAACAAAGCCAAATAAACCAAATTGAGCAGATACAGCGTAAGGCAGCAAGATATGTTTTAATGACTATAACGATAGATCACCAGGTGCTGTCACTGGTATGTTAAACAAACTAAAATGGGAAAACTTGCAATCCCGTAGAACAAAAGCTAAGCTTGCCTTGATTTATAAGATTAATGGGGGGTTGGTCGAAGTCACTAATGACGTCCTGACACAATCTGACAGGCGAACTAGAGGCCTACATAAATTTCGACATATATATACAAATAAAGACTTTTTTAAATCATCCTTTCCCAAGTACTATTGCTGTCTGGAACGATCTCCCAGAAACAATTTGCATGTCACCCTCCCTAGAATCCTTCAAAGGTGGTATCTCCACCTTAACATTTGGAGGTTCTAGTCTGGCTAACTAATTAGTGTATTTAAGCCACTGTACATAATGTGAATATGTTTAACATTAAGCTACAACTAATGTTATTTTAAATTGTAATTGAACTGTGGCAAATATTTTTATCTTATAACAAAATTTTCGACATCCATTTGCATGTACATAGCGCCACAGTTCCGGGATATTCCACACTCCGGCACCGGAGTCTTTCCCGTACCAGGAAGAAGAAGAAGACGTTAAATTAAGGTATATAGGGGTTTTTTTTCAGAGACAAGTGCCTGTGGATTTGTATAGTCCCACTATACATTGCGATGTATTTTTTTTTGAAAAAACCCATACCGCATAGAAACTATAAAAGGCCCCAACATGATGAAAAATGTGAAACAAACGAGCCGAAAACTAACGGCCTAATTCATCTGATCACCCTTACGGAGCACCTGAGATCACCGCTAGTTTTTAGTGGGATTCGTGTTGCTCCGAGTCTTGCCACGGCTTTCCATGTTTTGTTTTCAGTGGCGGATCCAGAACTTTTCATAAAGGGGGGGGGGGGGGGCGCTGACTGACCTAAGGGGGCCCTCTCCAGTCATGCTTCAGTGATTCCCTATATAATTAACCAAATTTTTCCCACAAAAGGGGGGGGGGGGGCGGGCCCCCCAGGGCCCCCTGGATCCGCCTATGGTTTTATATACTGTTGTTTGTCATTTGATCTTTGTATTTTTTTTATGCCATGGCGTTGTCAGTTTATTTTCGACTTATGAGTTTGAATGTCCCTTTGCTATCTGTCGCCTCTCTTTTGTAACAAAACAAGTTACGAAAAAAATATGTATACTAGTACGGGTTCCTGACTTGGGACCGGCGGACACATACAGAATGTGACGGGGTTAAACATGTTTATCAGCTGTCGCTATGAGCGCGCAACCATCCCATGGGCACGGGGGGGGGGGGGGGTCTCTTCCTATATGAAGGTATATACATATGTGCCGCTGGAATGGGTCCCTTTTTTGATACGTCAGATATATCAATGGGGTGCAATTTTACGGAGGAAATATATCAATAGGTAGTAATTGACCAATTGTGATACATTTAGGTACTATTTGAGCTGATAAATATATGAATGGGTTATGATTTCGCTGTGAAATATATGTATAGGTACGGATTTCACAATTATTCAATATATGAATGGGGGGTGTTTTTTAAATCCCAGCTGCACAACTGTACCCAAAATCCAATGTTGAGACCCCCCCCCCCCCCCGTGCCCATGGGACAGTCACGGGTGTAACAGCACAACATATAAGAACAGACTGTAAAGATCCGTGGCCTAACTTAGAAGATCGATACGAGGCACAAACACAACTGACATACAAACATTAGACACAACGTACCGAAATAAGAGCACTCACAGTTAATGAAAGCTAGTGCAAAGCCAATTCCAACAAATGAACAAATCATGCTCTCCCAGACCAAGGATTTGTATACTATACAAACCCTTGACCAGACTAAAGTATCAATCAGTACAGATTTTATGTAAATACAATGCCAAAATATAAGTAAAAAGTATCGATAAGATGAGGATAATTAGTTCTCATACTGATTGTACATATATAGCAATATATAGTTATGTTATAATTTTTCAAAAACTCAATGTTAGTACCAATAAAAAAATATTTGAAGATTTTTCTGCCATTTTAAATTGATAACCTTTAAGAATAAGTTTTTTTTCTTCAAAGGATCAATTAGTATGCATGGATCGTTTCTAAAAATACGGGCTTTCTAGTTCTTTAATAGAAGTAAAGGAACTAGTGAACAGCCAGAAAGATAAGTAGTTAATCACTTACTAAAACCAGAGATGAAACGAAATTTTAACGGGTTTTTGTGTAGTTTAGGTAGCAAATACATAGAAGGGACTTTCAAATTTTTAGAAGAGGCCTTAGTCCGTTTTTACCATGAAGAATAGGAAACATATCATTTTTTTATATAAAACATTGTAAAAAAAGGGCATAAGCTGAATGCATTGAAGATTATTGGTATATATCTTTATCGTTATTTTACTTAGATTTTCCTTTAGATGTAAACTTTTGGAGAAATCCGCCATAAAATTGAGACTGAAGCTATTAAAATTTCTCTATATGTAATGATGATAATTTGATGCAGAGACATATATGTCTCTGTTTGATGTAAAATATTCAAATATAAACATTTCAATATTTCGAATATATGAATTTTTCAAGTAATCAAAGCATCATCTTTAAAGGTAGAAGTAATTTCAATCTAGAAATATAAAATAAGGTAATCCCACAACAATAGTATTATGTCACCGTGGATATAACGTGACAGTACCCAAATTGCACCGAGTACCCAATTTGTACCCATTTTTTTGCAAAAAAGGCAGCAGGGATCTTAAAAGTTTTCTAATAAACTAAATAAATTGTATTTCCCATTATTCACGTCTTTGAACATATCAAAATTTATCTAAATATGCTTAAAATGGTCACAATATATATCAACAGAAGAAGTAGCAAAAAGGTATAATCTACGGAAACGTCGCATGCGACGTCCACAAAAAGTAAACTTTTAAAAATGAGCAATTAAAACATTCCAAGGCATCCAATTCTTACAAAATTAATAGTTAGCATGGACTATTGTCAAATTGTTCTACAAATGTGGAGAAATAAAGCAAAACATGAGTTATTTTATTGTTAAGTATGGATGCAAGGTTCTCCTCATTACAAAATCTTAGGTCGTTTGGTGGTCGTTTCAAACCAATTTTTCTATGATTGAGAATGGATTTATAAAAAAAAAAATTGTGGAACTATATAGTTAATACGGATACATCTATAAAATAAACACAGAATGGAAACTTTTGTATGGATCTTAAACAAACGTAGATGGGAAAAAACTGTCAAAATAGGTCCAATTAGCTACCCTCACGTTAAAAATCTTTGAAGTAAAATACTTCCCATTTGATTTAATTTTATTCAAATTTACACTTGGCATATAGAAACATATAATATAGTTGTATTACATGTCTCTGATATGTGATAATAATTTGACAGCTTAAACTCTTGTATGACTTCCCAAAGTAAATATTGCCACATTAAGATATTTGTACTAAAAACCTAGGACTAAAATTTTAACAGTGTAATAGTCCCAGTAAACACCTATTTTATTTGATGAATGAATCAAAATGATCAGCACATGGTGTTAGGGTTTTGAATATGAAACCCAAAAGGACCAAATATCACATGTTTTTTATTATGTATTTAACTCTATTTTTGCAAAAACTCCATGAGTCCCAGTGGCGTAGCTAGGCGGAAGCTCGGAAGCCAAGGCTTCAACATCGTTTTGTCAAAAACAAAAAATCATAATAAAAAAAAATAAAAAATAAAAACGAGCTAGAGGTATGAGAGAGAGGGAGAAGACTCCGAGTGAGAGAAAGTGAAGGGGAAAATAAATTGGCACTGTGCGGTTAAATAAACAAAAAGTTGTAGAAGTCAACGAGTCATCTCCAAACAATTTTTAATGGTGTGGTTTTTGTTGAGCCTGCGACTTTTGTCACAAACGCAAGACATAGCGATCTTTACATTCCGTCGGCGGCGGCGGCGTCCAGAAAATTCACTGTGTGGTTAAAGTTTTTGAAATCTTAATAACTTTCTTAAACAACCCTGGATTTCTACAAAACTAGGACAGAAGCTTGTTTATGATCAGAAAATAGTATCCAAAGGTAAATTTTGTAAAAAAAAAAATCCTTTTTCGTATTTTACTTATAAATGGACTTAGTTTTTCTGCCAGTTAACATTACATTCACTCTGTGGTTAAAGTTTTTAAAATTTCAATAACTTTCTTTAACTATCCTGGATTTCTACCAAACTTGGACAGAAGTTTGATTATGATCAAACGCTAGTATCTAGAAGGATATTTAAAAAAAT